ATAACGGGGGCCTGCAAATTCGACTGACAGAATAGGAGAAAAGGCGTATAATTTATGTTGACGTCAGTATTTTTACATGCACAGGCACTTCGCAGAAAAGAAGTGAAAACTCAAAGAAATGTTTAGGTTTGGGAGTCTGCATATTCTTCCTAAGAAAGAAAAAGTGTCTGGGCTTCAAGAGATAATGAATTGTGGAAGATGGCTAGGAATTATATGGGGAAACTTCTGGAATATAAGGGCTACTTTAGTAAGGTTTATTCATGCAGACTCATCTCAGTGCTGGCTCTCCATCTCGAGTAATAAGAATCGGTCCTCACTTCCTGGGCAAGAAAGGGGAGAAATTTGTGCTCTGCTTTTAGGCAGATACGTGGAAGGCAGAAAACTCTTTATGTTCCTGTTGACCCTCGACTGACTTCAACTCAAAATAATCCTTGTGCCAAGTGAAACATTTTAGGATGGCATATCCTGATCCCTGCCACTGCCCTTCCCTCCTCCTCTGTGCATCTATATAAGAGAAATCTTTACTTTTCAAAATTACCTTAAACTCATAGTTGCCACTTCTTTTTAAATTTTCTAGTTACCATAGCCTGAAATTGTTAGTGGAATCTGATCTTCATTTATTCATTTACTTACTCTCTTATTTTCTGAGCTCTACTCATGCCCAAAACACATGTGCTCTGCTTAGTAGGAAACCACCAGACCCACCCTCATGGGGGTAGAGAGGATGGGGTATGGAATAGGAACCATACAAATGCAAAAACTCAAAAGAATTCATAGATCAACCTAATTTTAAGGCAGGAAAAAAGGCATCCAGCCCAACTTCTCATTTTCTGGGTAAAGGACTGAGGTTAAGGAACTTCTTCTAGGTCACATGTTTATTCAATAGCAGACCCAGAGCTAGAATTCAAGTCTTCTCTTTTCTAGCCTGGAGCCTTCCCAGGTTGAGAAACAGATAACAATTACTTATTAGCACGGATCCTAAGCCAGAGTAAAAATACTTCCACAAAGCCACCTTCTACTTCTAGGCAGAGGAGTGTCCTTAGTTCATGCTTTGACAGTCAGCTTCCCCAGTTGTAGATGAAAATAAAATCATTCATTTAATGAGCATATGCTATATGCAGCCACTTTCTAGATATTATCACCAATCCTCCCCAAAATGCTGCAAATAATTATTAGACCCTGACAGCTTTTCACATATGAGAAAACAGGCTTTGGATCTAAGTGATCCAGATCACACAGCCAGGAAATGGAGAAGCTGGGATTCAACTCTGTTTGGTCTGAGAGCCCCTGCTCCTTTTGCAAAAAGAAATGGAATGTCAGAAGAGCTCCGATGCAGATTCTCAGGCCTGCCCACTTTGCCTCTGAGGGCCTCCTGGCCAGAACAGGAGGTGGCAGGGAATTTGAGCCTGCTGGGTGTTTGTGACAGATAGATCGGGTGGGACATTGTTCTGGGATAGAGATAATTTTCTAGGTGATAAAATGGTGAGAAGGAGGAATAGTGGGAGGAGGGTGTATTGAGCTATCTCCCTCCCCTGGCAGTGTTTGGAGGTTTTGTAAATAAAATCTCCTTTCTTCAGAAGAACAGGCATGTTTTAATTGTGTTGATATGTCGTGGACAGGCTTTGAGGATATAATGAGGTAGAAAATGGATAAAGTATGCACACAAATAGTGAGAAAAATAATTGTTTAAGCCATTCAGGATGGAAATATTGCCTAAGTACTTTTAAAATTTATATAACTTTTTTTTTAAGAAAAGGAAATATAATGCTATTATACAGGAAAATGTACACAGCACAATGAATTTGTGTGACCACATCTATCTAAGTTCCCAGATAAAGGCACAAAACTTTGTCAGATCCCTGTAAAGCTTACCTTCCAGTCATTCTGACTTTATAAAAATAAATGGAATTATAAAATATGTGCTTTTAATATCTGCTTTCTTTCTCTCAAGATTGTGTTTGAGAGATTCATCCATGTTATGGTGTACAATTTGTTTTAATCTCATTGTGTTGTGATATATCCCATTGTATGAAAATTCACAATTAATTTATGCATTCTACTGTTAATGGATATTTGGAATATTTTTTGTTGGGGTTATTACAAATAATGCTACTATAACTGTTTTCATACATATATTTCAGCAGTTCTATGTAGACATTTCTGTTGTGTATACAATAAAGAGTGAAATTGATCCATATGATCAACTTTAGAAATACTGTCCAATAGTTCTCTGAAATGGTTGTCCAATTTACACTACCATCAGCCATTTATAAGAGTTCCTATTTATCCATATTCTCACCAACCCCTAAAATTGCCCATCTTTTTAGTTTTAGTCAATAAGTTGGATTGTGTAGTGGTATCACACTTTCATTCTAATTTGCATATCTTAGGTCAATTTAAGGATAATTGACATCTCTGCAAAATAGTCTTCTAATACATGAACATGAAACATCCCCTGATTTGTGAGTTCTCTTTTAGTTTCTCTCAATAATGTTTTATATTTTTAGTATAAATGTCATATCTTTCATTAAACTTACTTAAGATAATTGATACTATTTAAATGATATTTCTATTTTTATTGAGGTTAAACGAAAAAAAGAAAAAAGCACAGATCAGTTGAGTGTATGTTTTGATATATGTATAAACCCAGGTAACTGCCACCCACTAGATTGATAACTTTTCCAGAATCTCAGAAAACTTCATCATGTCTCCTTCCAGTAGGTACTGTCCTTAGTGGTGGCCATGATTTTGACTTATATCTAACAGACTAGAATTTCCCCTGGCCTTACAGCTCTTAACTCTCTATCTGGTGTGTTTACCAAAGGCCCTCCACCTGGCAGGTTGCAAACTCCATTCATTGTTTTATAAACCTACTAAAAACTCCGCTCTACTTTTCGGAGACTTTCAGCTTAGGTATTTAATATCCTGACCTGACCATTCCTAGAATTCATTAAATGTTCTGAGTTGAATACCAACCACTTGCTGAAAGACCGCCCCCCGGGGGACCTATGAATTCTCCTGGTCTCTCTGTCCCCAGCAAGGGTCCTCCACAGTAGAAAAGTTCGGTTTTCATTCTTCTGCTCATGCCCAGAATCCACAGATTATTCCAGGTAAACATTTGTTGGTTCACCTCTCTGATGCTCTCCTAACTCAGGAGTTGCAGATGGTTTGTAAATTTGGTCTAGATAGATGTACACTAGACTGCTGGCTTGCCACAGGCTGTCCTAGTCCATTCCGAAGTAGTTCTTTCTTCTGTACTTTTGAAAAGCTAGTCATTGTGCATTTGGAGATAGTGAGGTAAACAAGACCCCTGTGCTTCAAGGGCTCATAATTTAACTTTTATTTGTTTAATTATGGCTGGGATTTTGACATAAGCCAATATTGCTTTGTGAACCTTTGAAGGGTGGAATTGCATAAAAGAATTTCTTCATAAGGGAGAAAGGGTGCTCACCTACTCATGCAGAGATGGGACTTTGTCCTTGGCCGTTGCTGTGGAAAACATGGGTATCTCCCCTTCCCCACTGAGTTAATAACCTGAGACACAAATCACAGCAGAAGCATTGGTTGTTTCAATCACCCCTGTCTATCCAATTAGCTGAGCACTATGCAAACCCATCAGCCTGGAACTCAACAGTCTGTGGGAAGACTTGCCAGGGCCTTCTTGGGAGACATGAAAATGACGTGAAGGCCCTGAAAATCAGTGTGTCCAAGAAACTGTCTAGGGTTTGGGTGGAAGGAAGCCAGGAAGGGGACTGTAGGACAGACCAGCCTTTCTGCTTGACAGAGGGAAGTTATTGTAGGAGGTAGGGATTGGGGCACAGAAAGGATGTCAAAAAATTCTTAGGCTCAGGAGCATTCTTTTTGAATCCTAATTGCTTTTCTAATACTTCATCTTCCCTAGTTAATGTCAGTACTGTTTTAAATAATTACTACTTGGAAATATCAGCCATGGTTAGCTACTTTAAGGGGAAGGAGAGAAGGTGGTTATTTTTCCCTTTTAGTCCTTGTGTGCTAAGTGAGGAAGCAATTTATGATTGATGGTGGCAACTGAAATTGAGTGACCAAATCCCAGGAAAGAATAAAGCTCAAGGGGAGAAAGTCAGACTGTGTGTTCAGCCGCTTCTTCCCACACAGGGTCTCTTCTTCAAATACTTGTCTATCTTAATATCTAGGAGGTTTGCTGACTTCTTTCCAATATAGGCAGCCGGTCTCACACGTGGGTGGGGAGGATCAGGAAGCCAGCTGAAAAACAGGCTTCCTTCATAAGCTGTGTGGAGTCAGACTGACTGACAAAACCAGGCCCTGCATACTTTGTATAAACTCTTTGTACATGGCTATCCCTAGAACAACATTTCCCTGTGTAAGAAAATGACTTTGACTTCTAAAGCGTACACTGAAACACAGGATAAATTGACTCTGGATAGCTCTGGAAATCCAGCATGGCAGAGTAGAAAATTAAAGTCATTCTAGAACTTGCTAAATATCAGATGAGTAAGTATGAATAAGTAAGAGAATGAGCGTGAATTAGTGAATGAACAAAAAATAAACCAAATACATGAAAAAGTCATTTGCACATGTTTGTAGAAATGTCTTGCAGGACTCAGGTCGTTTACGTACGCTTTGTGTGCTTTTTCAGAATGACAACTTCCAAGAGGAAAAACTGCATTCATCAGGTAGGCTGAGCATCTAATGGTAGGAACTAAATTTTCCTCCCTTTTGATCTTCCCTAGATGGGATTAGTGAAGCAAGACTCTATTAGCCTTCTGCCAATGAGTTGCTGAGCTGGTTTTCCGTCCTCCTTTACCTGAGATATGTCTGGATCTGTTTCCCCATTGTTGGTTGCCAGAGAGTAACTGTGTCCATAAGGGTGACTTCCTCAACTCCAGGGCCTGGGTGTGCTTGTGCCTTCACGTCTCTAACATGTTCCCTCTGAATGAATGAATGAATCACAGAATGGGACTGGGAGTGGAGAGGGACAATTAGCCCAGGAAGCAGGCACATTTATTATGCGAAGCACAATTTATTGGGGAAAACAGGAAAGAAGCCCAGAGTGGGGGGCGTCATGGAGAGGAATGAGGTTGAAACTGTGCACCAGCCTCTGTGACCCTACTTGTCAGGGTGGAACTCCAGAAGAAGCCCAGACACTTTCCTTGCTTTGGGGAATGGGTGGGCCTTAGCTGTGGCCAAGCGGGAGCCTAGAGAGGATGAGGTCTCTCTCATGCCCACATGGGAGAGCATCAGGGTGGGATACAGAAGAAGCCAAGGTGGTATATGTGGGGAGGGGTGCGATGGGAAGAAATCCTTACAATGATTCCTTAGATCTTGGGCAGAAGGAGATGAGAGAGGAGGGTAGACCCAGGAGCTGGAGGGGAAGAGAAGAAGGAAGAAGAGAAGGTTCCATCTGGTAGCCTGGATGGTGGATGGATGGTAATATCTCATCCATCCTTACTTCTGTTTACTCTTGGGGGCTTGCTGGGCTAAGTGACACTTCTGCTGGGCTGGAATGACGGTGGCCTTGGGTGGGCAGTGCTTCTTGGCCTGGGGAGCACATGGATCCTTGGTTTTGGGTGCACACGTCTCTTGACATTTGACAGGGGGTGGCTGACAAGGCTGCTTCACTTGCTGCTGTTGGGCCTTCTGGGGTGGGCACTGGTGCTGCTGCTGCTGCTGCTGGGAAGACATTGCTCCAGGAACAGGTGAGTCTAGGGGAAACCAGGCAGGGACATCATGAGAAGCGTTCCCTCCATCTCTCCTCCCTCCTGCTTCCTAGAGGAGTGTTTTCCTTTCATAGTCAAGGACAGACTAAGTGATTAACAGCATCAAGTTGATGAATGGAATGATTCACACACACTCATTTTGATCATTCTCCCTCCCTTTCTTTCTTCCTCTATGCTGTTCTGATTTCCTATCTTCCTTCATCCTTCCATGCACTCCTGACTTACCTAAATACAAATATTTCTCAATCTTACCAGGAAATAAGGTGGAATGTTAAGCTGATGATTAAAAAGTAGCCCAGACACTTTACAAGGTCAAAGCATGCCATCTTAATTGACAGATCTGGACAATGTCAACTGGCTCCCTTGAATAATACATACAGTGAGAGTGGGCAAGAATGTAGGTGCATGAGGAGAGGACAAGAACTGTCTCTGTCTTACAGGGAAGCATCATGCATGTGTGCGTGTGTGTGTGTGTGATTGGGCTGGAGAAGGGCTATACTAACAATACAGAGGCCTGATCTCTGATCTCTGCTTCCTCCCTGACTCATGATGAGAAGGTAAGGCAAGTCCTATGTGGCTATAGGATAGTGATTTCAGCCCTCCACAAAGAACTGGGAAGCTTGAGGGCCAGCCAAATAGATCACTGGAGGCAAAGGATGACAGGAGGATGTTCTACTCAGAGGCAGTCTAGTTCACAGGAAAGCGCACTAGCCAAGAAGGCTCAGGCATGGGTTCTAGGTCCATCCTGCCATTCACTGCATGGGCAACCTGCCTTCTCTGGGCCTCTGCACCTTTATTAGAAGGATGCTGGTCAGGAAGTTCCCTGAAGCCTTCCCAGCTCTGATGAGGATCTCTGGCTATCTTTGTAGGCAGTGTTCCTTATGTTCTAAGTTAATGATTACAGATGGGAAGTGCAGGCCTCAGAAAGTAGAGAGGTAGCAATCAATAGATAAGAGTCGCACAGCATTGAATACGATGTTCAATGTACCTGTTTCCATACACCTGGAAGCAAAGTTTAAAGCTTACTGGTAGGAAAAATGCAGAATAGGGTATGAGAAAGCTTTAAGCAGGGCTCAGAATTGCTACAAAATTCTATAGCTCCAAATGTCTCCTCCTTTCACAAGAAAAATCTTCTTGCTAGGGAGTTAAACCCAGGATCTGGAAGTAAGTCATACTGAACAATGGTGTGGAATGGAGATTAAACTTTCTAGTAACAATTAGTGTGCCATTTCTGTAATTGTCAGATTTGTGTCACTTCCCTGATTACCCAAGGATAGAAGAGGAGCTTGGTCTAGCAGCTCAAAGGAGCTAAAGGAGAAGGAAAGAGCCCAGCAAATCCCAGGAGAACAGATGTGTTCCCACTTACCAGAAGCAGTGAGCTGGACCCTGGAAGAGGAGGCTGAGCCGTGGTCCACAGGCAGCCACCCCAGGAGCCTTTATAGGGCCCCAGGCTGCCCCGGCACTTGGTGTGGTCCTGATGACCACCTCTCAGGGAATTCCTCACGTACTTCTCCCACCTGCACTTCCTCCAGGAAGTTGCTTTGCTGGCCTCTTTTGATGAAAACCACCCACCATATATTTTCAGCAACCCAAGTTCCTGCACCTGAGCCCATTTAACCCACCAAAGGTGTTTGCTCAAACTCAGGGATTCAAGATCTTAAAATAGAACAAATTGAAGGAGTTGTTTGCAGATGGACAGTTATAAGAAACATTGAAGAAGGAAGAGAAAGAGGGAGAGGATGGGCGATTCTGAGGAAAATGTGAACTTAACATTTGCTGCAAATTGCGGTCATGTATTAAGCACCCACCGTGAGTCTAGCATCAGGACCATGCATCACGCTTATTATTTCATTTCATCTTTATAGCCCCTCTAGGGAAAGTGTCGTTGTTACCAGTTTGCAGGTGTGAAAAGTGAGGCTGAGAAAGATTAAACAGATAATAAACAGCAGACACGGGATCTGAATTCAGACCTGGATGATTCAACGCCTTGCCCCAAGTATCACTCATCCCCCTTCCTCAATACACAGTGCGAATGTCCTTCCTAATCCAGGGGACAGTTCACGGAGTGTCCTGTGAGGCTCCCCTAGGGCACAGGTAGAAGATGCTGTGAATGGTACCCCAGCACATGGTGGTGCGGTCCCCATCTGCCCACTGGGAGTCGGGGTGCTGAAGGGTATTCGTGGTGGTCACAGAATGTGGGATAGAATTGGTCTTTGTGGTAGGCTTGCCACATAAAACATAGGACATTCAGTTAAATTTGAATCTTGGCAGAATATTTTAAAAGTATAAGTATATTCCAAATATTGCATGAAACATACTGAAAATTACTTGTAATTTATATGAAATTCAAATTTAACTGGGCAGGCTCTATTTTCATTTGCTAAATCTAGCAACCCTACTCAGGGCTGTATCCAGGTGGGAGGAAGGAGCCCTGGTCCTCCATTCAGCCTCCTAGGCCCTGGGATGGGGAAAGGCAGGGCCTCTGGGAAGCTGGTCCACCTCCAGCCCTCTAATCCAAAGATCGACCTCAGGACCCTGCCCAGCATGAGGCCACGCAAAGGCTCACTGCTGCCATTACCGGAGCAAGGGGTAGGATGGTCTGAGAAATGATAGGAATACCTCAACGTACGTTTGAAAGCAGTTTTCAAGCCCTTTGCCTCATTTGATCCTCATGACAATTTTACTGACAGTTTAAAGAGGCAGGTCGAAAGAAGTTAAAGGACCTGTTCAACCACACGCAGCTGTTCAGGGTGGAGCTGTGTGGGGGCCTGGCCTGGGGCTCCTTTCCACTCCATCACTGGGTCAGCATCTCCATGGTGGACAAGTCACTGTCATTGGGTGGAGACCATGACTAATAATGTCTCCTGAGCTTTCTGTCGTATGTGGATGAAATACTGTTCATTTTTCAGGGTCAGGCTCAGTTTAATCGGTCCCTTAATTTTCCCCTCCTCTCAAGACTATCAACACTAAGAATGTAATATTCTGGGTTCCAGATTCCGGTTCTGCATTCCATCTCCAAGAAGAACACCTTCTTCACCTGCAGCCCTCACTTAACGCAACCCCGGTCTTCTGTGCTCTTGCTGATGCAAACTGCCCACAAGGTAACTATGCAGTGAGGCAGATTTGCATGGACACCGACCAAGGCTTTTCATCTGCCCGTGGCCTTGAAGGCACCAGCATGTGTGTTTCCTGTGACTAGATGGGCAGCTCCAGCCCTCATGTCCCAGTCACCCATGTGAGATTACTGCAATGAACTTTACTCCTTATTTTTCCCAATTTGATCATTGCCCTCTTATTTTATTGATAAACAATTCCTGCTTAGTTTTGAAGCATATTCTGTCATGTGATGAAACTCGGCTTGTAAAGCAGCCATTATCTCAGAGAATAACCTAGGAGTGGCCAGGATAGAGACCTAAATATGGCTGGCCTTGAAGGGGCCATGTGCCATAGATCATAAACATTCAAGACCCAGTCAACCTCATCTGCGTTCAACAGGTTACACCTTTCAAAACCTCCACCCTCGACATCCCTGATAGCTACATTATTCTCATTTTACAGAGAGGGAAACTGAGACTTGGAAGAGGCCATGCCTGGCCCAAGGTCACATGAGGGCTAACGTCAAAGCCAGGGTGGAATCACAGGTCTCCTGATGTCGCAGTTTCTCTCAGTCAGCCGACAGGAGTGAAGTACTGGTCAGCTTCTTAGCAGAGGCTGCGCTGACGACAATTTGGGAAGCGCTTGTGGTGGTCTTCACCTCTTCTTACCCACTCTTCCTCCCGATTTCCCCCCCCGGAAGCCAGGTACTCTCTTTCCCCACTAGGGTGTCCTCCCTCCCTCCGCTAAGAACCCTTCACCGATCCCTGTCACCCACTGCCAGGCACAGGTACTCTTTTTTATTAGTTAATACAGCCTATCAAGCGCTTCCATATGCAGTGTTCACAATACACTATGAAGAAAGATAATTGTGTTATACATTTTATATGTGAGAAAACTGGCTCTGATGGTGGCCGGATCCAGAATCCAGGAGGGAGGGTTCACCCAAGTCTGTTAAATGGGTAATAGCTGATTTCCAAACACCCTGACCGGCTAGGGCAGTGGATTATGCTTTCAAAGGAGAGGAGAGACTTCCTGGCACCCCTCAAATCAACCCCTCCAGATAAGGCGGGCCCTGGGAAGCTTTGTGGAATGGTGACTGTGCAGTCACCCCTCCCAGCCCCACTGCACCAGCCTAGCCACGGGACTGTGTCCTGGCCAATCTGGAGTTCTGCATCTACTCTCTCATCTTCAAAGGATCGTGTTGTATTAAAACCAGAAAGCCAGGCTCTGCATCTTCCCCCTCAGTGGGGCAGGCACCTGAGAGCAGGTGCATGCCTGTGACCCCATCAGAGAAGGGAGGGCACAGGCAAGACTCATCTCTGAAGCTGAGTCAAAGCTTGAGAAACCCCAGCTCCACCCTGCAGGCAAACAATGGCGTGACTGGGAAGCAGACACCTGAGCACTGGGAGGGGACCTGCCAGAGACAGTGTCTTGTCTCTGGATTTTGAAGAAAAGAAAGGTTGATAATGCCTCCATCTGAAGACAAATGGAACGTATTTATTATGCCATTTCCGGGAATGAGAGCAGAAAACAAGAAGGAGCATGCTGGGTTAATCATGAGTGGCTTTTGGGGGAGGAGGACCACGCTTAGCAGAGAAGACAGTGGATGTTTGGGGCTGCCAGCGTTCCTGCATTTTAGCTGCCTGTCCTGTAAAGTGAAAATTCAAAACCGAGCAAGTAGCATCTCATTTTAACAATTAGGTTTAGCTGGGCATGGTGGCTCATACCTGCAATTCCAGCACTTTGGGAGACCCAGGCAGGCGGATGGCTTGAGGCTAGTAGTTTGAGACTGGCCTGGGCACCATGGAGAGATCCTGTCCCTACAAAAAAAATTTTTTAAATTAGTCAGGCATGGTGGTGCATGCCTGTAGCCCCAACTACTTGAAAGGCTGACACAGGAGGATCACTTGAGCCCGGGAGGTTGAGGCTCCAGTGAACCATGATCGAGCCTCTGCACTCCAGCCTGGGTGACAGAATGAGACCTGTGTCAAAAATCAAATCAAATCAAATCAGAATAATGTCATATTTTATTTATCTTAATTTTGGGTTGATATTTAACCCACAGTCATGACTTAGAACATTTTAGTTTTGTTCCCTAATTACTTAACAATCTGTCAACAGACACTTTAGAAGATTTACTTAAGGAGACCTTGCAACTTTGTTTTAATGTAGGAAGTTCATTTGCAACATGAGTCATTTCACCCTCTAATTTATCTGTTTGCATATAAGATGTGCTAATACTAATGTTAGGTATTCTGTATGATAACATTAAAGAAAGTCCTTTTCACAGAGGAACTTCCTTGGAGGGAGCACAGTGAGAAGATGAATCTCCAGAAAATATGTGGTTAACGTATCTCCTCACTCCACCCCTTATGCCACTATGATACATTTCTAGAAGACCCTAGGCAATGCTAGGAGTTTAGGGGGAAACCAGCCCTGGACCTCACGTGAGACACTAGTCTCCATGGAACATCCACAGACTGTGCCCTTGGAAGCAGAGCACTGGCAGTGGAAGAGAGGGGCGAGTAGCCAAATCGCCCACCTGGGAAGCGTGTCAGGATCTGCCTCATGGAAGCAACGTGGATCTGAAGCACCAGTGCCCCTTTCCTGTGATGTGACACAGTTGCAGTTAGAGACAGGGGAAGGAGCCAAGGGAGGAGGGAGGTAGCTCTGCAAATACTCGCCCCTCACTGGCTGTGAAATCTTGGGTATATCCCTTAACTTTCCTGGGCCTCAATTTTCCTGTTTTTCAATGTGAAGAGATTGGCCGACATTATCGCTAAGGTCCCATTGAAAGCTAAGGGTCTATAAAAGTACGATTAGGTCAGGGAAGGTGGTCTTGTTTCATCCTGATGGAATTGACAGTGAATTGAGGGTGTTGAGGTTGATTTCAGGATCAGTGGGCAAGAGTGCCTTCTTTGGGGAAAGGTGTCTGCTATGAGAGGGGTGCATGGTCACAAGCATGCAGGTACCCACCATTCCCGATTCAGCCTAAAGCAGGGAGCGTTGTGCTAGAGTGTGTACGTAAGAGTCCTTCATGCCCTTGAAGAAGGAGAGGGAATATAAATTGGTTAACGATCTTGCACAAGCTGCCACCACCTATAATTCCTGTTTTAGCTCCCTTAAGACAGTTCCAGACAAAATTATTCCATTTTCCAAAACTTGCCCGATACTTTCCTGCCTCATACCATTCAATCTATAATGGTGCCCTACTCCCAGATTTCCCAGTGAAATTCGGTCTCCAGGAAGCCTCTTAAACACCACTTTCCCCACAGCCCCTTTCCCCAATCTTTCCCAAAAGATGTGCTTCC